AATATTCAAGATGCGTATACTCGAATATTTGTTTAAAAATTTTTATTTTAAAGCATGTAAAAAAAAATAACTTTATTAAGTGCGTCATATTAAGCAATTATAAATAGATCATAAATTTCGAAATCCCCGCGTATATAGATATGCTACATGTCAAAGGTCCGACAGAGAGTGCGAGAACTTATATTTTAATTGTGTAAACTTTGACTAACAAAATATATGCTAAAAAGTTCATTAGCAGTTGCAATAAAGATATCATCACTGGCTGAACTTTATAATGCCCACTATAAAATCAAAAGTAAACAAATCTTTGTCAATTCTGGGTGATGCAGTTTTAGTGTCTCACTTGTATAATTTATAACTTGTAGCTCTATAACAGCAGATCTATATTTAATAGAATATCTTCTATTATTTCTTACAATTAAATGCATTTTGGCCCTTCTAGTTAATGTTATAATTATACTAACGCAACGACCCCTAAAAGGCTCTAATAATTAATTCCTTCCCTACTTTAATTAACAATTATCTCCGGAGGATCGTAAAAAAGGAAATAAGAATATTTTAAACGCAATAAAATCTGAAATGCCTGGCATTTGCCCCAATTAAAAGTGTTGAAAAGCGTTTTTTAATTACCAAAGGTAGCAAGATGAATTTAACGCCGTCGTTTAGCTAAATACATCGTTCTCGATAGTTAAAGTTTTGTGTCTCACACCGGAAAAAATCCGTAAGACCTAAGCTTAAGCTCTGTTAAAAGTAGGTTGTTGCAAGTCAGCCCGACTTTGCATTCGGATAAGTTTAATTCCTTTATAATCCCGCTGAAGGTAAGATTTTCGTCCCGTTTGGCTCTAAATCCTCCAGAATTGCAAATAATTCCGGCAAAATTGGTGGATCTTCTGATTTGTTAATGTCGCCCCAAAAATATTATATGACACTACGACTGGATGTCAAGTCCTGCGATATTGTGTGTGTGACCATGCACGTGACACAGGAAGGAGTTCTAAAACAGCTTTCGGTGAACACCAATGAAAGTCAATAACTCAAATTTATCCCAACATTGAGTTAATTATTTAGGTTAGTTCTTTACCATCTGTTGGTTTGGTATGAGGGAAGGGGGTCTAAAGAATATTTTTTAATTGCTTTTGTAATTTTTTATTCTGTTACTTAATAAAGTAACCACGGGCTAAAATATCCTAATGTTGCAGATCTTACAGCAGATATGAACGATTCTGGAAAATGCTGTTAAAAGGTGCCAGAAATATTTGCTCTTTGTCGACGCACGACGCAAATACCTTGTAGTCTTTTCGTTCCACTTCGGCAGCAGAGATCACAAAATAAAATAATATTTTGGAAATATTCCAACTGTCAGAGGTAGTGTATGATGCTAAAGAAAAGAAGATTGGACAATTCAATATCAATGACACAGATTTACCCTTCTTCAGTGGCATAATCGTTGAAATAACTAGGTTTATATCTGAACATATCTGAAATGACATTCTCCACTTTTGCTCCTTATGAAATATATTCTTCTAAATTCGACATTGATAACTGAGGAAACTAGGTTCTTTTGGAAAAACTGAGGTATTTCTGATGGTATGCTGTACCAAGCTTACGCAAGGGAGTAACTTTTTCTAAATTGGAATGGCTTCAGGCTTGTTTAGTAAATGTGGATTCTAATTTTGAAATGAATGAGACTCCATTCTAATAAACTTAAAGATGGCGTTTCACTTGAATGTTGGCTATTGAAGTTCATCAAATGATATGCTTTACTTTTAGTTGAATGTAAGGAGCATAATTATTTGAACGGATGAATTTTATAACAGTTACTTCACTACATCAATAATACACTCAGAATCCCGAATTAAAATGGATAAAATTGGCGACACCCTGGTTTCTTTCCCAATATTTCATGATGACGCTTTCGCGCTACGTACGTATTACGCTTGCCTCCCATTATTCTCAATTTCATAAACAACGGGGTTGCCAAGGCAACGTCATTTGTTTTAATTTACGGCCGCGCGACAGGCTTAAATCAAAATCCCCTAGTAGAACAACAGGCGAAACGTGTGTTCTATTACGTTTTCTAGGCTGATGGCTCGTCAATCTTCCTATTTTATGAGCGATGTCTCCGAGCTCGATTAATTGCCCTGGGGAACCGCCGCCGCTCCGCATTCCTTCGTTTTGAAAATGGGCTCCCGGCTTTGTACCCGCCGGATAAAATAAATACGTATCATATTTAAAATTACTTTCGAATTTTATTTATGCATGTGGAAGTTATAATTAATACGAATGAGCAGGTTTTCGAATATCAGACTCGACGTTTATGACATAACTATTATTTAATAACATCGCCGGGGATGTTTCTGGTTGGTCATAGAATCATCAAGCAAGGGTCTTTATTTTTAGGTTCACGCTCTCTAGCCTTATATACACCGTTATATATTTTTGCTAATGTGTTTTTATCGTTTCATCATTTTGGAAGTAACGAATTCAATCAATTGTGATCAGCTCAAGCCATGGCCCAGCTTTAAAAAATGTATTTATTATTCTAATTTTTTCTTGACCATCTTATCTACCTAATATACAAGAGCGCCGAAAAGAACGATGTTTAAATATAATGTAAATTTGAGATATCTACTTAAAATTGCTTTTTCTTTTCATTCTGTTCATAAAAGTTTCTTGAGACAAGGACTCCAGATGACTGGGTTCAGGCTAGCAATGGCACTTAGAAATTAATGATGCTTCTTGTTCAAAGTTAAGGCCCGAACATTATTTAACATCGTAATATCACATTTATTATTTTATTTGCATATTTATAAACATAATATGCAACCTTTTGCTTTCAATACAGTTACAGATCTGCCGCAAAGATTTGAATGAAATTAGACTTTATATTACAACCTCGCACTAAAATAAACATAAAAGTTCCTATAAACTAGGTCTCACTCCACTATTCGCCAATCATCTGCTCTTCAGTCTAATAACTTCGACATTAGAGATATTAAGCGTTCCATAACAAAATTTACTTCACCACAATCTTCTAAGGACAATGAGCCCGAAAGCAACCCCACACTTGCCACTGTTGTCCTTCCTTCCATTCAAAACATCACTGACCACATATCAAAAGCAGATTTACTACTTTTTCGATCCGTCAAAAACAAAATTCCGTTTGAGATACAATATTCCTTCAGATTAAGACAAATAAACTCATCAGCAGTTGCCGAACACAATCACGACACCAGACACAAAATTTTAATCGATAAAACTAAAATACTTGCATGTAATCAATTCTTCTACAAACGAAAAAATCCTATAAGCAAACAAACAATTTTAACAGCGACTCAGGTCTTTACCTGTCTCCAATATGGAAAGCAGCTATCCAAGACAATGTTCACACCCCTCCTTTAGCTCCTTACCCCTCCAACAGTATATAAGTTGGTTGGTACAGAGTAGAATGCGAGGCAGTTTTGGTTAGTTTGATAGACTTACTAAAACTTTTACACTCTATTATAGCAAATTATGCAATAAGAATACATTCACGACCTTCAGATTTGACAAACTTTAAAATTCAAGCCGAAAACATCCGATTGGTCCCAAACCCGCGCGGTAATATCCCCGGAAATGTCCGAACTGTCTCGGATCGGTGGGACAAGAAACTCACGTGGTAAAGTGATGCTTCCCGCACACTAGATTGGTGAATAATTAGGTATTTTCCAGAAGAGAATAGAAAAACTTAATTTTGGATTATATTCATGCATGAATATTACGCAACAAAACCTCGGATTTTTTTTCAAATTCATTGGTCGTTGATTATTAGTAACATAGATTCTTCATGAATCGTTTGGACGGAATTAACGAATGCATTGACTTTTTTTGTATATTTCATTTTACTTTCTGAATGCAACTACTAGCAGAATTATATTTGCTTCTTCATCTAAAATTTAAAATGTTCCTTTCTATATTTTCCTTTTTCTTGCTGATTGTTGCCCTCTTTGTTTAAACATGCGGCAAAGCAGCTGTATTAAGCCCAATTGTATTTTTGAACGTTAACGATAGATGTAATATTTTGGTTTTTTGTTGAGATATTAGGAGATTTCTGCTATGATTTTTTTGAATTGTTTTGTTATTAATATGTGTCTATAAGATATTATCATATTCCAAACAAATTTTAGTTTTCTAGTACTACTCGAAATTCGCTATTTTTTTTTAATGTGTAAATTGGAATGAAGAAAGTGGTTATTCTACGCATTCTCAACACAGCACTCACTGATGTCCCTTACTTGATATTTTTCAATATTTAACACACGTAGAGTTACAAATATTTTCTTTTCTTGTGTAATTATACTTAACTGTTAAGTTTTGGAGTCTTCTTGAGCAGCATCCCCTGGAATTGGGTAGACATACAAGATTGCAACACATTTATCATTGGTATCAAGTTGCAAATATGTCCACTTTTACAAAATGCCTCCCGACAACGCATAATCCATAATGTAAAAGCAGGAACGCGACCGAGAATATATCATTGCCATATTAGGCCATAAAAACCAAAACTGTGGCCATAGGGGTCCAGAGAGCTAAGCGTATACATGGTGAATAAGTTACGAGATGTATGGAGCACATGTGTATGCTGCATACATACGACCGCTTATTCACTATGCGGTTCTCTGTCTGGCACGAAACGGGTTAACTATTTAAACGCGCCGGTTCCATCTATTTAATAACTTGCGCTTAACGTTTTATATCTACGTGTGGCCCGAGCCTTTTTCCATTTTGACAAATTGATGGAAACTTTCCGCTCACAAATTGAACGAGACCGCAAATATTTGCTAATAAATCAATCGCTGTTTTCGCTTTAACTACGCACTATGGGATCGAATCGAAAAATTTTGGTCATAAGTAGAAAAAAATGAGAATTTTGTTTTAAAGCTAAAATTCGCAGTAAATTATACAATTTAAAAAAAAAACGCATATGTCTACGTTATTTATAATATATAAAAATGGCCATATAGGAAAGAAAATTTTGTAATTATTGCTTTTAAGAAACGGTAAATTAGTTAATGCAACTTATATTTCTTCATATAAAAACATACAAATAAATTGAATAATAATGTTTAACTAAACGCAATTAAATTACAAATATTTTTAGAAGCTTTTTTGAAATGTATATAATTTCACAATAAAACCTAACAGGACAACAAATAAAAAATAAATTTATATGTATATAGCACAGAACAATCATTAAAGTATAATTAATGCACAATGCCCCACAACACGTCATTACCGATGTTTTCTTCAAAAAATCCACCAACGCTATAATAGCCCTTACTTAGAAGAAAACTTTTAATTTTATATTTAAAATGTTGTGGCAATGAGTTATAAAGTTTTATACTTTTGTTTTGATTTCTGTAACCTGTATCTCGGTAGCACAAGATTATTTGCACTCCGGGTGTCATACCTATAAGAATCAGAACCCCTCGGTCTTTTAGTGTATCTCAAGAACACTTTGAAATATAAATATACATGGCACCGTCATTATTTTATCATTAATAAACAATGGCTTACAGTGTTCGTTAAAATTTGAATTTGTAATTATCAGTAGTGCTTTTTTTTGCATCTTAAATATTTTAATTGCATAAGAGGAGTTACCCCACAGTATGGTGGCACGCGAGTGAAATAAACCAAAGTAAGACTTCAATACATCAAAACTCACCATTCTGCGAAATTGACGCAAAAGAAAATGAATATTTGAAAGATTTTTACTTAGCTCGCCAATGTGTTCTGACCAATTCAGAGTGTCCAAGGTAACGCCCAGAATCTTGCATCCCTTGAAAAATGTCAACCTACTGCTACTAGACACTAATAAATTCTTCTTTTTTGGCTTCATTAAGTTGTAGATTATTTGCTGAAAACCATGCTTTGGCCTTAGAAAAAGTATATGGTTCAATATTACTCAGGGTAGTGATGTTCCTGTTTGAATTAATAAACGTTGTGTCGTCAGCAAATAGCACAATATCAGTATCAGGCATCATGTACTGGCAAATATCATTTATGTATATAATAAAAAGGCGCGGTCCCAGAACGGAGCCCTGGGGTACTCCAAACTCAACGCAAGCCAAATCAGACTTATTGTTCTTTACGCTCACAAACTGTTGTCTATCTGTTAAATAGAATTTAAAAAGTTTGAGTGGAACATCACGCACTCCATAATCAAGAGAATCTGATGAGAAATACAGTCGAAAGTCTTTGAGAGGTCAGGTCTCACTGTGAAATCATCATGTGTTCTCCCCTTTCCAGACCCCTGACTATGTCCTTCACCACCCTCATCAAAGCTCTAGTTATGGAGAACTTGCTTTTGAAACAAAACTGGGCTGAGTCAAGTAATTGATTTAGTTCAATAAATTTATATAGCCTCTTTTTTAACAGGATTTCAAAAACTTTAGAGAAAATAACAATGATAGAGATAGGACGATAATTATCGACCATCTGAGGGTCTGCATTACTTTAGAAATTTTAAAAATACTTGGGAATATTCCTTCAGTAAAACAACAATTTATCAGACTAGTCAAAGGTTCCACCAAAATATTCGCGGTCTCCTTCAGTATTTTGCTATTCAAGTCAAATGCATCAAGCGCTGATGAATTCTTTAAGTTCATTATTGTTGAAAAAACTTCTTCAGGGGTCGTAAGAAACAAGTAAAAAGAACAATCTGGTGCCCTCAAATCGTTTAAAAAACAAGAGCTGCCCATTGTTGAATTTGGAAGATTTTTTATGATATTATTTGCAATTCCACTAGAATACTTATTAAAGTGACCTGGTAATAAAGTTGCCCCAACACAGTGCCTGTCTCGATTATTTCTATTTAGTTTAGTTTAGTTAATGCCAGTCAGTTTCTATTTTGGTCTTAATTATTGAAATGTATCCCGAGCGTAGCGTAGTGGTTTTGTTTTCCATTCCAAGATAAAAAAAAAATTTGTATCTTCATTTTTCGACGTGAGAAACAACGTCCGCAAATGTCTGTTTCCTGTTACGACGCCAGAAGGTTAGTTATCAATCAATCGGAGCCTTGTAACTTCAGAGAATTTAAAGTTAGAGCTAAAATAACGCATACATCACATTGCTATTGTAGACGCGTTACGATTTTTATTGAATGTGCACTAACGAAACTAACGAAACTAAACCATTTTGTGTTTACAATATAACAATGCGAATATATCTTGAGCTTAATAGTGCTTGCTCATAAAAAAGCTCATGGCCAGAAGGCTTAATATAAAAGCGCATAAAAGACAAATAAAAATTCAAAACCCTCACAACATGATTTCGCTTTGTTTCAGCCTTTGTTTAAAAAGTTTTAAATTAAATAAAAGACTAACTCGAAAGCATTCATTTTAAAAAGCTCGTTCAAGCTGGAACAAATATCGCATCACTCCTAAAGCCACCCCCTTTCGGCGAACGCAACCGTAATGAACTTATATCTTTTCCTATGAGCGTCGGTCATTCTGCTGGCCATTTTCTTTAGATCGTCCATGATATCATAGTTCTCACCCGTCAAATCGTTTACGTCTTCTTTTTCGCCCAATGCTGCAAATACCAACGAGATGCAGCGGCCATATTGACCGCAAGAAGCTTCGGTTTTTAGTTCCTCCAAAAACGAATCGTAAGAAAATGGTGTGGTGTCAACTCCGAACTCTTTCAGATTATCTATGAACGTGCTATAGTATAGTTTTATTAAGTCGTCCATATGAACTTCTATATCAGGGAATTTTACCGATGTCGTAACGAAAATGATTAAATCTGCGGTTATAGAAGCGTACGTGCCGGCTTGTAGATCCAGAAACATAACCTTCGTATCGTTTTCTTGTTTTTTTACCATAATGTTGTTGGTCCATAGGTCTAGGTGTACAACTCCCGCCCACGGCTCCCTAGCGTGCCTCAATCCCCACGGATTCAGTGCTAAGGCTGGCTTCACGCGGTCCAACAGCACTTTGCATTCTGAATCTTCTTGTAGAAGTTTTATAACGTATTTGAAACAATCCTGAAGCCCGCTCGTCGAATCGTCTGAGCATTCTGCACCATATAAGTGGGCGTGAATCTTTGCTTCGAATAATTCGGGATTTTTTATCTTTATTGCTACGGCAACGGAGTGAAAGACCGCTAGCTTTTTAACTATCTCTTTTGCTGTCTGTATGTCGAAGCCCCTACGTCGATCTTCGTTCTCGAATCCTAAAAATAAAAACCAATTGAATGCGAGTTTAATCGGAAAGACACAGAAATATAATTTGTGTCCCTGAAGTATAAAAAAATGACGGAGTTACCCACCCTTGTTAGGGGTCCTCCGTAGACACACGGCATAACACAATAAACTTTAAATAAAATAAAATGAAACCAAAACATACGAGGAATGATAAAGTTTTAGGTATTTGTTTCACCTATTAAAATAAGTTGATATAAAGAAGATATAGGGACCAAAAGTAACATTTTAATTTTGTAAGCAGGGTAGCATCGCACAGGATGAGCCGAATGGAACAATTTTAATTCCAATTCAATGTAGCTTCAGGTCCGTCTTCGTGAAAAATAATATGAACGTAAATTAAAAAATAATAACAGCTCAAATTGTTAAACCTGTATCACAAATATCAATTACACAGGCGTACAAAATTTTTCTTTTTGACAGATGTTTTTATTTTCAAAACTCATTTTATATAATTTTGGTACGCTGATTTTAAAAATTCTATTCATTTATTCGCATCACGTAATTTTTTTTTGCAAATATCAAAAGAAATAAAAGACATTTCTAAAATAATTTGTTTTTTTATTTAGTAAAAAAGTTGAACCCTATTGTTGCAATACACAATATTGACGTAACTCTTTTTCGCGATCCCGGTAAAAGTTTGATGTGACGCCAGGTGCCAGTAAATGCTTGTCACGAAGTCTGCTCTGGTTAAACACTGGTGTGAAATCAGTCATCTAGTTCTTTTGGGTGGTAGGTGAAGATGAAATGGTTGAATAGCAGAGTCAAGATTAGGATACATGATTTGTTTATTATTTGTTCTGTTGATTCCTTGAATATTACACTAATAAAAATGACTGTGATTCCTAGGCTCTCGCCGCACCATATGAACACTAAAGCTTAAACATGTGTTACTACCATCTACCATCCACCAAAATAATGTAGTAACAAATTCAAATTGGCCGTGCTTTTTTGAACACCAAAAGAGGGATGTATTTTTGGTTAACTGTAAAAATGAGTTTTGGCCAGAAGCAGTAGATTTTTTTTTCAGAAATGATTCTTCCATATTTTTACTGCACCATAAAGGATTTATAATAAATCACCTATAGAAATAGTCCATTAATGCATGCTGTTCGGAGTACTGGTTTTGTTTTGTCCCGAATTATTTAATAAATAAATAACCTCTTCGAGATAAAAATTTGCTTGTAGTCAGGATATCTAATCTACAATCTTGACATTAGAATGTTAAGATCGCGGAATATAGGAAAGGCATTTATTTGTAGTAGTATAAAAAAACTTACCCGATTCTTTCAGATTTTCTAAAAGTAACACGCCATCATCGTCAACTATATCCTTATCCGAATCCAAACTAGTCCTCGCGCCATACATTGTCGGAAAGAAATCTATGATATTTTGCGCGCCATTTTCCGACTGGAACTTCTGCATTGTCGGTATGATCGACGTATACCAACATATTTCGTTTTTAAATGTAAAGGACAAATTAAAGGTGTCTTGGATAACCTTGCTGGGTGGCATGCACTTTGCCACTGCATGTACGATTTGTTCGCCACCGTGCGATTTTATTTTCGCATCTATTTTTAACATCACGCTTCCATAGTTCTCACCGGGACCGATCAAGCTTGTAACGGAGTGCCACAAAATTTCGCCGTTGAAGCTGTTTTCTAAAAATTCTTTTAGATTCTTCACTTCCATGATACTACGATAAATAAAACTGCCGATGAAATAAACGTTATCGTAGCGTTTGGTTGAAATCAACTATAAGGGGATCCAGTTTGTTTGTCGTATATTAAAATTTATCTACCCGACTAGATTAAACACCGACTTTCTGTTGCATTGTTGAGGGCCGTACGCGGCAAGACTGTCATTATCAATGTAACCGGTCGAATGGACGGGTAATTTTATATTGACTGAAGCGCATGGAATACGAGGGAATTCCCGTTAACGCACTAAACGAACCAACTGCCGGCATTCCCAGCGGTTCTCAATAAATGCCGTTTACTAAATAACATCTTTTTTATATTGCGCGTCGTCACGGTGTTTTTTAATTCTTTGTCGACGCCTTCAAACGCGTTGTCGGCCAAGGTTGCCCTTCAGATAAGAACAATGCCTAAATATGTAATATGTAAATATCTAAAGTAGGTCCTATCAGAGAACAAAACCCGCAATCTTGTTCAACTTATATTAACTTAATCATTTTCAGATGTGACGTACCACACAATATTATAATGATAGGACCTCATCAAAACTAGACATTCGTTTCTTCTTATATAACGACATATTAAATGGGAGAGAAGCTTTATATATTTTCCGCATGTTAAATATGGTGCTCCGTCTGATCCTAACTTCCCCTCACCTGAACTCATATTCTATGATGATATGGAGGTTACTTATTTTTTATTGTCTTATTTATTAGATTATCAGGTTAGGTGACCTGAAATTACATAAAATGGAAGCAGATGAATCTACGTTACAATATTTGATTGTTAAAAAACTTAAAATGAATAAAGTGGATCAACTTTTTCTGCGCTTCGCTCCATTTGTTTCTTGTGAAAAATGTGTAAATGTGTAAAAAGATATTTTTACGTTTTCTTGGTATTGCTTTCTCATTATACGATGACTAGGTAATAGTATGTTATGCAACAAGTGCGGCAAACGGCATTTGACTCACGAGTTTATTTGACACGAGCGGAGCACAGCGGAGCGAGTGTTTAATAAACGAGTGACTTAAAAGTTTACCAAACGTGTTGCATACTATACTGTTTCGGATCCGTGGGAAACGAAACTGACGCGGTAGATTGACGCTTCTCGCGCGTTTGATCAGTGTGTAATTAGCCATTTTACAGACGGAAGTAGAAAAATATATTTCTACTTTAAGACCAAGAAATGCTTACTGGTTCTCTATACCAACGAATGCATGCTTAGCATATTATTTTTTACATGATTGAAGTCGCGTTCGCATACATCAAACTTATCTTCAAGAGTAATTTTAGATTTTTCATTCTTCAAAACATAGCAATAACATTTTTCAGTCACGTCCGATTTTCAAGTAATATTTTTAAGGAAATTAAAAAATTACGCTAAATCGACTTTTATTTTGGCCAGCTATCAGAATATTCCAGGAACTTAAATAATGTAAATTGCCTAAAAAAAAAAACATTGGAATAAAAAAATATTTTATATTTTCCGCAAATTATAACAGAGCTCTGTCAAAAATTAAATTTGAAGTGGTTTGGAAAATATTGCTCCTATTGTAAAAGCTTATCCGGTACGTAAAATCTTCGCACGTATTCTTGTCAGTTTCGTTTGCTTTGTCTCGCGCGAAACCAAACAAATAAGCAACTAGGTCATGCTGGAAACAAGATCTGAACTGCAGAAACCGCCGCAACCCTCTCATTAGTATTATACCCCGAATGTGTCAATCTAATTGCGACACCTCTGCGACTCGTACAATTAATAATATCTTGAAGTTCGGATGATATATTGCAAACAGCTTTCCTAAATTAACTAGTTCAGACTAGTTCGCGCAAAAAGGGATTTCTTGCGAGGCACCTCAAATGACGACGACTAATACGTTCCGAGAATGGAAAACCCTTTAGTTCAGGGTCGCAATACTCCACCACACTCGATAAGTCGCAGTCAGCAGGAGAACACATGATCCTGAAATATGTTTGGGGAATCCACTGGAGGGCCGAACTTACTAATGCGGTAAAACTATAACTGAAATATCGATAGTGGAAATCGGGCAAACATTTTTTAAGAAGGTTCGCGCTAACAGGTATGAGCATTTTTTTAAATTTGTTGAAAATGTCAATATTTTTTTACACATCATCTTACCTTGTTTCAGATATTTGCATACAATAAAGCTATCTACTATCATAATTATTGTTTCATCATAATATATTTTTAGTCATTTTTCGCGACTATAATATGCCATCTTTTAAATCGCATTAATTACCTCATGATTTTCCTCTATCTTGTATTTACATTTTTTTAGTATAATTTATGTTAAACATTGCTGCTTACTTATTTGCGTACTAAGTATTGCTCCGCATAACCTGTGAAAAAATAATGTAAATTATCAGAAAACTTTTTTTTGCCATTGCATTTGCTTAACCATCTAATTTTATTATGTTTGAAAAACTACGGATATTTGGGGGTATTTCAAAGATATCTGGTTAATTTTTCCAACAAAGGGAATTAAATTGTACAGATTTTGACAGTGATTAATGCTTAAGTCGAGGGGTAAATCAGTAAAATTTGATTGTTTCAATTTCAAAATTCTTGCAAATGAAGCAATTTTTTTGGTTTAAATCTTATATCTTACATTTTGTGCTTATGTTCGCAACGGCCGTATATCTCAGGAATTTTTAGACTTAAATTTGTGAATTTTAGTATGTGAGCGGCTCCATCCAATGGCGGCATAGATGACGCTTCCACATTTATGTTTTTTCCCAAACCTACAAACCTTTTTGTTTTAAATAGAGAGGATCTGTTTTTATTTCATTCTTGTAGTGCCTTCAAAATTTGCGGTATTTTTCATGTAACGTACCCTATACCCATATTCATCCGTTTTTGCAAAAACGACAGAAAACGAAAGTAATAAATGATTTAATCAAAAAACAAGAATTTAATTTATAAACGACAAATTAATAACTTTGACGAGTTGGCAAACTTAAATAACAATAGAAACTAAAAACGAAGAAAAAGGGTACTTATTTTAATAAATGGTCATACTAACGTCCTTCGGCTAGTTGACCATGTCCTAAACGGTTATTTCCTCTTCTAAGTCAGCCAAGGTGTTGGGTTTGGCTTTGTTCACTTTCATTTCGAGTTCGAGTCTGGTGAACGAGGCGGTAATCCCTCTTCGTCCGATTCAACGATTTGGAAGCATTTGATGCAGGCACTTTTTTACATTTTGTGTATAATGGGTAGGTGTCCCAACGTGTTGAAACCGCAGGCGGCTATCAAGCATCCCTATTTCGCCATTTCTGATATTCGGATATAGCAAAGCTAATTGGGAAACAACTTGTGTTCTTAAAAGGGTATAACAGTTTTCACCGGTGAGAATGCCATTGACATACACACATGCATTTAACTTTTGAGAATATTTTTCGTTTGACCAATAACGGCAATTGTGTCTATTAACGAAGCCATTCAACTTGGGAAATTTGAATTTAAAATCGTTTTACTCACAACACGAGCACAAAATTCCATCCGCCGATCTGGATTATCTTCAGACAATTCCTAAATGATATGTGCCTTTTATGGTTTATACTTATTTTTTTGCCAAAATTCTTGTCACTGATGACTGAGTGGAATTATTATCCTCAGCTACTTGTATGGTATAATATTGTGGATTATCTATAGTTGATAATAAGAACCTCTTCACCGTTCGTTTTAGGTATTGATCGCCCTGTGGTTGGGCGGTTTTTTACAAATCCAGTATTTGTAAATTTTGAAACATATTTGGCCACAGTTCATTTCGTGAGTTGATGCGTATTGCACGCAGTAATTCAGGCACATCACTATAGGATCGTTTCCTATCACCATAATCCTTTTAATATTGCAATTCGTTGGAATTCGCTTAAAAACATTATTATTGACGTTGCATAAACTTAATATGACAAACAAATAAATCAAACGAAATCTTGAAAGACCAAAAAAAACTAATTCAATTGGTTCTCAAACCGTGCCAAGTAGAGGCTACCATTTTTTTAATGCTAGTTATAACACCAAATGCTCTAGAACACACCATATTAAACACCATTTATTAAAATAAGAACTGAACTGAGGTGGCTTTTACTTGATGAAAATCCATTTATCAAAATAAATAAGAACTACAAGTTCAGATTTTCACGAAATTATATATTATGACATGACAATTGTTTTTTTTTATAAAGACACGGTGTTGTCGAAACAATTATCATGTCATAATATATAATTTCGTGAAAATCTGAACTTTTAGTTCTTATTTATTTTTTAAAATAAGAATTTTTATTTTATTTTTATTGTGATTTAAGTTTACCAATTCGTTAAAATCATTCATTATAACGTTCATAATTTAAATTATAGTTTGGTTTTTGTCATTCCTCCAAAAACGGTTGAATATGGGGATGTTAGATAGATAACATAACCTTTCTGTTTAAAATAAGAAAGTTTGGTAGTTTAGAAGAAAAAACACAAATGTGAAAAAACGTTGCATATATCCCCATTGGACATATCCTAATTAGGAACCCTCGTATACGTGACTTTTAAGTTTTATCAAACAGTATTTATTCATTTGTCCAAATTTATGTTGTCCCCTTCAAAGTAATCTCCTCCACATATAATACACATGGGTCAACGTTTTTCCTAGTCGTCGAAGCACTTCTGGTAAGCACTTTCTTGTATAGCCTTGAGTTGTTCCAGAGATTTTTTTTTATCTCCTCAATCGTTCCAAACCTCTTTCCTTTCATGGACTTCAGGAGTTTTGGGAACAGGAAAAATTCGCAGGGGACCACATCCCGTAAATGTGGAGGCTGAAGCATGATTGTCGTTTTGTTTTTGTACAGAAAGTTAGACACAAGCAACGATGAGTGAGCAAGTGCATTATCGTGATGCAAAATCCGGACGTTTTCTTCGTATTGCTTCTCGTAAACGGTGCATACCTTCAAGATAATACTCTTTATTGACCGTACGACCTTGTGGTAAGAACTGTTGATATACTACGTCACGTCAAAGAAAACAATAAGCAAAACCTTGACATTTGATCGAATTTGACGTGCTTTTTTAGGTTTTGGCGTTTGGGACTGTGTTTTGGTTGGGACGTCATAACGATATTGCCATAATTCGTCGCCAATTATGACTTTTTTGAGCATATCCATTGTTCGAAATAAAG